ACTAAAACAACACATTTTTACTTATCATTCTTATTGCAGTCACCATAATACCTCGAGTCTCTATGTAGTCCTAAGTAGTAACCATATGTAAAATTTGTCTTGTTGGGGAGGGGGATAAAATTAACAACATTTAACAATTAAACCCCAATGAAAGGGGAAAGCTCATCAGAACAATTAGCGCAAAAATATTTATAGAAGACACAAAGAAAAGCTGCATGACGACGGTGGGAAAATGACTAAAACCGAGATGTCAGGTCAGGACCAATAATATTGCAGATTCTTCTTTGCATTTTATTAAGAATCTTTTGGCACAAAATAGAAGCATCTGACCAGATATGAAAACAATATTCGATACATGGATGAATAATATTTGTTTATTTGGAAATCGATTCAAAATATATTTCTTAATATGTTCGCTGTGTCGTCAATCATTCTTTTGGATAATCTGGATAACAATGGCGCACCATTTTTTTTTGGTGGGGGGTCAGAACGGGCGTCGCTTTTGAATTAAATTTCAAACATGAAGGGACATTACACTGTAGTTCTTTTACCTCGTACATCGTTACATTGTATCGATTATATCAGGTTAGTCTGGGGGACACTGTTCGGTAGAAGCAACAGTAGAGAACCTGCGAATAACTGAGTTAAGAGCAAACTGCGACGAGGTAGGTGCCGAAGAATGAAGTACAGTTTGAGTAAACAGGTTCATATTCTTGTTGGGAAGGGCTACAAGTAACCTGTAAATGGCGCAACCACTCTTATCCGAGGATGCTAATCTACTGTCTCCTCGGTCACAATGTCTTTTTTTTTTAAACATTCAACACCAAGCAAGGCGGGAAACCACTAGCACGCAAAGGGTTTCAGATGGTTGGAGCGAGAACAAAGAGGAGTGATAGAAGAAAAGATAAAGAGAAGGATAGGGGATAGATCAGGGCATCTGGCGACGTCGATTGACATTACATTTGAATAGTTGAAGATTATAGCTATCAGGGAAACAGGAAAAGGGGAGGGAGTTCCACAGGCGAGAAGTGCGAGACATGAAGGTATTGGAGTAGAAGAGACGGCTATATTTAACAGTTTCGACAGTGAAAGGGAGAGAGCGAGATGCCAGCCTAGTTGAACGCTTAAATTCACGAAGTCTGGGAACGAGTGAAAGCAGCTCATCAGAGCAGTTACCGTGAAAGTATTTGTAAAAAAGACAGAGGGAGGCGACGGCACGTCTGTGAGAGAGCGGCTGCAAACGAGATGCTAGATCAGGGCCAATTACATTGCATGTCCGTCTTTGGATTTTATCAAGGACCTTGAGACAATTAGAAGGGGCTCCAGACCATATATGGCAGCAATACTCCCTGCAAGGGCGAATTGTTGATCTGTAGATTTGAAGGATCGAATCCGGTGAGAAAAATTTCCTGGCGCGGCACAAGGAGCCGACTTTCCTTGCGGTGGACGAAGCTATTGACACAATGTATTCGTTCCGTCTCAGGTCAGCAGACAATATGAGACCGAGCAGTCGCAAAAAGGTTCTCTCGTGGTGTTGAGCGTCAGACATTCTAATGAGAGGCAGGGATGGTTCTCTGTGGTGAGTAATAGAGAGCAGTTTTGTTTTTAAGGCATTAAAGTTAACCAGGCAATTCCTGCCCCTGTCCATAACCGATTGGATGTCCTTTTCGAGACAAACGGCCAGGTTAGTTTTATCAGCGACACTAGATTTGTTTTTGAGGCAGGAGTAAATAGTAGTGTCGTCCGCATAGATGCCTACTTGGGAATCTATGACATCAGGAAGACTTTTGACTTAATGCTACCAGAACCATCGACAGTTGCTTCTACCGATTTCACTCACAAGGCTTGGGTATGGTTTTCAGGCACTTTCTAAAGTTACCACAGGCTCCTCAAAACCTCCTGATCAGAGGCCTTGCTGTTGGATGTAGTTTACCGTCTTACCCGGGACGGTTCATAATTGTTTTGTCGTATCCCTCTATGGCAACGGAAAGTAACTTTGAGTGAAATTAACAATAAGGATACTGCGGTTGAGAGGCCTTGAAAAAGAATGCAGTGGAAAGGAAAGTAATAATAATAATGCAGAGTGCTAAAGGTTTAAAAAGACTGTTTTACAATAATTTTCTTCTCTGTAAAAGTCAGGGACTGTATCTTTGTTATAGACAGAACACCCTTCTAATTGGATAACAAATCAATATTTTCCAACTCTGAAAGTGTCGCGGCCTACTTAAGGTTTAACGAATGTTAATCTACAAAATGAGTTCCCTAAAAGAATTTCCTATTTTTTTTTATGAGTGGACCAGTCTATTTAAGTAGTGAACTGTTTTTTTTTTTTTTTTTTTTTTTTTTTTTGGCTTAAATTACTTCCTTATTTGCATAATTCATCGTTTCTCGATTGATCTGGTCAAGGGGTCATAAAACAAATGTTGACGATATCGACTTGTACACGAGAACATTGGGTCGTTTTTTTGTTGTTGTTTTCTTTTTTTTTTTTTTTTTTGCACTGTCCAATGAATAGCGCTAATATTGAAATGAATCGAGTTCCCACATATTACAGCTGTCTCCCGTCTTGTATTCTTCGTTCGCGGGCTTTCACAGGACTTATACATATTTATTCCCACGTTATCGACAAATCTCGGACGTGTTAATGCCCGTACGTCACGCACAAACACATCTGTGAGACTCCGGCTCTTTTTTCACCCATTTGTCTCGCATTACTCTCTCTCACTCTCTTTCTCTCATTTTGTTTTTGTTTCACTTGTGCAGTTACAGGGTTTGTGTAGTGGTTAACGAGCTGGGCTAATACACCAATCGTCGGGAAATTGTCTCTCGCCTCTTTTTGTAACGATCTGACAACTCTCTGATAGAATTGTTGTGGTGGCCGAGAACAACTGAATAAAGATGAAATCATCGCTTCATTCAATATCATCGACGAAGGAGAAAGAGAGGAAAATCGACGAAGGAGAAAGAGAGGAAATCGATGCTAGATATATATATATAAAAAAAGGGGGTGAAAAAGAAAGAGAAAAGAAAGAAAACGAATCGAAAGAAGAAAAAAGACGTTGAAAAGACGTAAAGAACAATTTAGAAAAATATTGTTTCTTTTTTTCTTTCTTTCTTTCTTTATTGATTTATTTCTCCTGAAGTATTTCATTTCCTGCCTTTAATCTTCTTTCTTTGTTCTTTCTTTGTTTCTTTCTTTCTTTCTTTCTTTCTTTCAATTGGTCATCATTTATTTGCTCCTTCTGATGTTATAACTATTTATTCTTCCAAAACTATCCTTAATTTTTTCTTCGACATTCTTTCTATTCAAAACAATTTCTTTCTTCTAACATTTCACTATTTTATTACTTTTGTCTTTCCTCTTACTAATTCGTCTCTTTTCATTCATTCATTCTCTCTCTCACTCTCTCTCTCTCTCTCTCTCTCTCTCTCTCTCATTCTCTCTTAATATTTCACAATTTGATTACACCATTCTTTTCTCTTTTTATCATCTTTTTGCATTCATTCATTCTTTCTTTCTTTCTTCTAATATTTCACTATTTTATGACTTCAGCCTTTTGTCTCTTGCTTAATCGTCTTTTTTCATTCATTCATTTTTCTTTCATTTTTTCTTTTTCTTTCTTTCTTTCCTCTAATATTTCACTATTTCAGTACTCAAGCCTTTTCTCATTTTACCGTCTTTTTGCATTCATTCATTCTTTCTTTCTTTCTTCCTTTCTTTCTTTCTTCTAATATTTCACTATTTTTGTTACTTCAGCCTTTTCTCTTTCTTAATAGTCTTTTTTCATTCATTCCTTCATTCATCCTTTTTTATCGAATATTTCACTATTTTATTACTACAGATTTTCTCTTTCTTAATCGTAATCTTACATTCATTCATTCTTTCTTTCTTTCCTTTTTTTCTTCTAATATTTCACAATTTCATTACACCAGCCTTTTCTCTTTTTTACCATCTTTTTCATTCATTCTTTATTTTTCTTTCTGTTTTTATTACTTCAGCCTTTTCTCTTTCTTAATAGTCTTTTTTCATTCATTCACTCATTTAGTCATTCCTTCTTTCCTTCTTCTAATACTTCTGTTTTATTACGACAGCCTTTTCTCTTTTTCAATCGTATTTTTTATTCACTCATTCTTTCTTTCATTCTATAATATTTCACAATTTTATTGCTCCAGCTTTTTCTTTTTCTGAATCGTCTTTTTTAATCATTTATTCGTTCTTTCTTTCTTTCTTTTTCTTTCTTTCTTTTTTCTTCTAATATTTCACTATTTTATTACTTCAGCCTTTTCTCTTTCTTTATCTTCTTTTTTCATTCATTCATTCATTCATTCATTCTTTCTTTCTTTCTTTCTCTCTTTCTTCTAATATTTCACTATTTTATTACTTTAGCCTTTTCTCTTTCTCAATCGTCTTTTTCATTCATTCCTTTATTTATACATTCATTCCTTTATTTAATACATTCATTCTTTCTCAATCGTCTTTTTCATTCATTCCTTTATTTATACATTCATTCTTTCTCTCTTTCTCTCTTTCTTCTAATATTTCACTATTGTATTACTCCATCCCTTTCTCTCTCTCTCTCTCTCTCTCTCTCTCTCTCTTAATCGTCTTTTTTTCTTTCATTCTTTCTTTTACTCATATATTTTGCTACTCCAGTTTTTCCCTTTGCTTTTTCATCAACTTTCTTTTTTAATTGAGTCTTGTTCCTTTCCTTTTTTCAAACACTCTCCTATCGATTTCAATGAATATCACTACACATCTTGGCCCAGTGCTTGATACAATTCCTTCTGCAACGCGTTGAGACATGCGCGCTCACACGACAATTACCTATAGACACTTGATCTCATGTAGAAACACGCATCATACACCTCGACCATCGTCTCTCGCTCAACCAGCGCCACTTCTCCATTCCAACCGCCACAACTACACGCCGACCACAACCTTCGTCTTCGACATCATTTAATAAGAATAATCATAACAAAAACACCGTCCGGCAACCGCCATGCCAGTCTCCACCCCTAGGGCCGTTTCTTCACTGAACACTTCCTTCCTTCTTTTTTTTTCTTTGTCTTCTTCTTCTTCTTCTTCTTCTTCTTCTTCTTCTTCTTCTTCTTCCACTCAGTCCTTGTCTAAAAATCATGCTTAAGAAATTGAATAATTACTTGAGTTGAAGATATATGAATATGGAAAAGTCTTCGGAAACTAAACCGACAATCATGTCGTTTGTCGGTTGGCACCCTCCTTCCTTACCATAAACGCAGATAAAGTTGCAGTCGGGGTCAAACACAATTCTAGTTCAATTCACGCGTTTTGGCTCGCTGCCTTCACAACAATTTCATCCTTGCTGTCATCCAATTCACTGGTCAATTTACCTCCTACTCTTCTCCTAACTCCTCCTCCTCCTCCTGCTCCTGATTCACTTTGGTCTTCGTATTGTTCTTTCTTTCTTTCTTTCTTTCTTTCTTTCTTTCTTTCTTTCTTTCTTTCTCATCGTCTTTTTTATCTCCATTTTCTACGTTCTCTTTTATTCTTCTTTAATATCCTCTTTCTTTCCCCTTTTCATCATTTTTTTCTTCATTTTATGTCTATTTTTCGTTTTTTTTTTTGTTTGGCATTGTTCCCTGTTTCTTCTTTCTCTTTACCATTTCATTATGTCTTTTTTTTTAATTTTTTTTCTTTCTTTTTCTTTCTTTTTTTCTTTTTCTTATTTTCCTTTATCTTCTTTTTTCTTTCTCTTTCTTTTTCCTTTTCTATTTTCTGTTTGTTTCTTATTATTACCATTATACTTTAATGATGATTCATTTTCTTTTCTTCTTTTTCTTTTTTTTTCCTCTCTTTCTTTTTCTTCTTTCATGATGTTTCTTTTTTATTCTTTTTCTTCTTTCTTCTTCTTACTCTTCCATGATATTTTCTTTATTATTATTCTTTTCCTTCCTTTTCTTTTTCTTTCTCTTCCTTTTCCTTTCTTCTTCTTCTTCTTCTTCTTCTTTCATGATATTTCTTTTTCCTACTGTTTCTTTGTTTCTTCTCCTTCATTTTTTTCTTCTTCTTCTTCTTCTGATTATTATTATTATTATCTTTTGTTTTTATTTAGTACAATTATTTATTGGATCATTAACTGGGGTAAAGCAACGTGGTAAATATATGCATGCTGTTTTTACAAATACCATTATTATTATTATTATTATTAGTAGTAGTAGTAGTAGTAGTAGTAGTAGCAGTAGTGATGGTGGTGTTGATAGAGAGTAGCAAAGCGAAAAAGTAACGCTACAATACAAATTTACGATACCCAATATACCCCTCACGATACCCAATATACCCCTCACGATATCCAATATACCCCCAGTCGGATCATTCAGAAATTTGGATAAAAAAAAAAAAATTAAAAAAAAACAGTGCATAAAATTGCAGTAGATTTGAAATAACCCCAGGTCGCGTAACCGCTCAGACAGTATCCGATTAAGGATGTTCCCATGTCTCTCAAGTTAACACACCCTTCAATTTTAATATATATATATATATATATATATATATAATAAACAGTCCTCAAAACACACAGCCATAAAGCTCTCTTACTACTCCCGTTCATGAACAGATATGTACAATACGTCAGTCCTTAGGAGACACGCTCAACTTTCTATGGTCAGGCAATTGACAAGCAAATTTGTGGTAGTGAATAGCATATATACTCTAGCCCATTTTAATTCGCTAAAATAAAATAAATAAATGATAACATTGCCCACAAATTAATATCAGAGGTCAGAGTGTTATTGTTGTTGTTGTTATTATTATTATTATTATTTGTAGTCTTTCGGCAAACATGGACCTTCGTACCCGCAAAAAAAAACTGAGTGTAAAAAAGACGGTTTTTCCAATGAGAAGCTAAAGACTAGATTGTCTATTGCTTTTTTTATTGTTTGTTATATATTATGTATGTATATTTATATATATATATATATATATATATATATATATATATATATATATATATATATATATATAATCGGAGATTAGATTCTCAGTAGTGGATGCGCACTGCTGAAGAGACCCAAAAAACTATGAAACGCCCTCAGTATTTTCTGCATTCTGTTGAGGATTCTTGTTCGAGACTCGATGAATTATATATATATATATATATATATATATATATATATATATATATATATATATATATATATATATATATATATATCCGATGAAATGAGAACGAAAATAATATATAAATTCTAATGTTTACAGCATTAATTCAAAAGAGGACTCGATACCGATAGTAGAGCAATAATTAATTATTATAATTTTTTTTTCATATAAACAAAAACATTTACTCACTACAAAGATGCAACTTCGTTTTGGTGCATTTCAATTGCACATCTGTTCATAACCAACTTTGATTTTCTCTAGTCGAGGTGGAATTGAAATGCACCGAAAAAATTATGATATATATATATATATATATTTATATATATATATATATATATATATATATATATATATGCCGTGATTCTTTTAATTTTATTGTTCACACGAGATATATTATTGTTGGGGTGGAATATTATTGAAGTTAAAATGTTTAAATGAATTGTAGTTTAATTCTGAATTTGAATTTAAACTTAAATTAACATTTAAGATTGAAAATAAATAGCTCTCTTACTTAACATTGAGCACTATTTTTTCTTACACTACATATATATATATATATATATATATATATATATATATACAAATGTGAAAGGACGAAGAATAAAATTACAACGTTCAAAACATTAATTTAAAAGAGAGCTCAATAGAAGAGTAAAGCAATAAATATTTATTATATGATTTCATAATAAATGCCATATAATTTGAAACGCGACATTCTAACCAATGTATCTGTTGGTGTTTCATTTCCGCTCAAATTTGAATTCTCTTATTCAATATAATTTCATTGGCTTAATTCGTAACTACATCTTCCCATATGTTATTTTCTTAACTTTCCTCTTCCATTGTACCTGTGTAATTTTAAATATACTCCTCTCCTTCTTTTGTTTTTGTTTTTTGTTTACTCTCTTGGGAGTCGGGCTAATTTCTTACGTTTTCCTTTCATTCATTTTCATTTTATTGATTTTTATTTCCATTTTCTTTATAAAAATCTATTTTTTTTTCTATGGAAAATTTTTCAAAAACGGAAAATGAAGTGATGTTTCATAAATTGCAATTTTAAATAAGATCATTTATTACCATCATTGTTAACTACCTGATGAGACGTTTTATTAAACAGTGCATATATATATATATATATATATATATATATATATATGTGTGTGTGTGTGTGTGTGTGTGTGTGTGTGTGTGTGTGTGTGTGTGTGTTTGGTTGGATTGATGTGAGTTTGTGACCCTGGGTTTCACGCTTTTGCGATCGTCAGACAAACTGATTAATTTTTTTAAAAAATGAGTTTATGTAGATTTCGTGTATTGGTGTTATTATGGGAGTGGGGGGGATCGTCGTCGTGTTGTCATCGTGCTAACGCAAACATAGATGTATGTCCGTACACCCGATGAGGTACGCAGACACACATACACACTTGCTCGTCCGTCGGGACTCATACATATATAAACATATGTGGACAGTATGAGATTTGATATATGTATGTATATGGGTGGTGTTGTGTTTATGCATACGCATTTGTATGTTGAAATTCAAAGATTGAAAGTGTAGCGAAAATTTCTCGTGAATGTCTCGTGAATGTATACATGTCAACAATCAGTGCATTTTTCTATTTTTTCACTGATATTGAGCGCTTTCTAATAAGTACCGCGCATATAATATATAAATAATTATATATATATATATATATATATATATATATATATATTTATTTATTTATATTTATATACACACATTTTTCACACACACACACACACACATACATATATATATATATATATATATATATATATATATATATATATATATATATATATATAGTTATTGCTTTGATCACGTTTCCGTTACAAAATGATCAGATGTGCGTTTCGAGAAAAATCTGAACGAGTGAAATAAAACTTGGCCTTGATTGGGAATCTCTTCCTAGCCGAGCAGTCAAAGAATGTCTGAGATAATGCCGGTTCCTCCCACAAACGGAAAGGCAGGTTCTAATACTTCTTTGTTAACTTTTTTAGTGAACACAGGCCGGTAGGCAAACAAATACTGTTTTAAATAATGGGGCGTCTATGACAGTGAAGTCCGTCAGTGACGACGACGACAACAACAACATCTACTCCATCAAAGGAGAAGAAGGAGAATTGAAGAAATCCCTGATTGGTGACATTAGGTTGACATTGATGGCTGCGAAGACCATACTGAGACTCGCATTGCCGTCCACAGCTCGGGCACTGAATGCCGATATTTCATGGTGGTGGCCCACGCACTAGGCTATCATGATGTCGCTGGCGAAATACTTGGTCTTGAGTTCGGCTAGATTCAAATCTTTCAATGGCCTGACGGCATAGTGTCCTCCAACTGTTGCGATTGACTGCTCTGACCTCCAGTTCCGCAGGATTAATAGCGCATTATTTTAGCATTATTTCAAATGGTCTTTAAATCTTTTCTTTCTGTCCTCCAATATAGCGATGCCCTTCCGAGCGTTCCCTATATAGGATCCTCTTTGGGAGACAGTCTTCGAGCATCCTGATGTCCAAATCCACCTGAGCTGTCGTTGGAGGTTAAGAACGTCAATATTTCTGCTGCTAGTAATCTTCATGCGGTATCCCATCTTGCCATGAGAATCCGGGGATGCGTTGAAGATTACGGATGTGGAAGGTTTTTTTAAGAGCCCGTATGTGATCTCGATATGGAGTCCAGGATTCAGAGTCATACAGAAGGATTGTAATTTGTAATTTGTCATCAATCCTGCAAGTAGAGGACAGCACTGGTCCTCGATACGTGAAGTTGACAACAAACTCACCACCGACTGGAGCAGCAATGTTATGTTGCACCGGTCCCGACGACCGGCAGAGAACTTCAGTTTATCGGACATTAATCATAAGGCCAATGCTGCTTTAATTTCTGTACAAAACATCAATTTTGCGTTGCAGGGTATCATGTATCAGACTTGAATAGGCAGCATCGTCAACATACCGAAGACAAAAATAAATTGTTTTTATAGGAGCATGAAGTCGACGAAGATGATGACACTACCAGCTATGTCGATAAAGGAGAGATAACGCCATCTTCCAGTAGGAAACTTTGAGGGTTAAGCCCTGCCACAGCATCAAGATAGTGTTGTGGTGTCCTCTCTCTTCAGAGTCTATGTTAGACTCTTCCGCCTACTATAAGATTTGTATTAATATCATATACAGTGTAACCTGGATATAAGAGAAACCCAGATATAAGAGAGATTTTCTCTGGCCCAAATTAGAGCCTGTGTTAATGTATATAAATTATACCAAACCCGGATATAAGAGACTTCTTCTCCGGTCCCAACAACTCTCTTATATCCGGGTTACACTGTATTAAACAGTAAGTACTCCAGAAGAATATTACACGACTAGTGAGAGTGTATTGAATGAACTAGCACTCAATCCATTCGCTGTTCCCCGAAGCCTTCTGTCCTACTAATCTTATAGTAGGAGGAAGAGTCTAACATAGACTCTTAAGAGGAAGGACACCACAACAGATAGACGTGAAATAAGATTAACGCTAAGATACAGCCTTGCTTCACCCCTACGCTGACTTTAAGAGGAGGCCTGCAGATACAACCCGTGCATACACATGTTGGTATGAAAATCATTGATCGAAGGCGATGTAGAGATCTCTGTGCTGTTTCCCGAATTTTTCCTGCGGTCACCCATCCATGTACTGACCAGGCTTGACGTTGCTTAACTTCAGTGTTCGTACGGGAACCAGGTTACAACGCAATGTTGCCGTAGGCCGCCATAACAATCTAAGCTTCGTATATGAATTCTTTTATACCTTTGCATACCCTTCCACGCCATCCATTATAATTCCTCATTTTCCCGCCTACATTTTATTATTTCTCTTTCTTCATTGCCCCAAGCACTTTATCACTGTGCGCAGCCGGGCCGCCTCCGTCTCCTCATTTCAGCATCAACCGTAGGGCATCGCTCTTGTGTCGATCGATGTTGGTTCTATCCGAAAATGCAGCAAAACAGGATGGAAAAGTTGACGCCGGTGCCGACATTACTTGAATCCAGAACGAAAGTGAGACACAAGACGGAAAAGAAGCGGGAAACGTCATATTAACATCAAGCAGCAGCAGCAGCAGCAGCAGCGGCGGTGGTAATATCTCCATGTTATTCCATCTTCATCTTAACGTATCTTCTATTCCAACCTGTCCAATGTTTTATCGCAAGTGAAGTAATTGGTAAACTGTATTAGTTATCTGAAGCAATGTTTCCCTCCCGTGAAGCAGGGGGGGGGGTTAATATCACATTGTGGGTGAAATTTGGTTTCTATTTTTTTTTCTTTAGTTTCCTTCCTTTTTTTTTTCTTTTTTTTTAATAGGAATAGAGACCAGATTTTTTTTTTCATATTACTGTAGATTAACAACTCCAGATAACGGTCTTTAGTCTTAGTTTTTAGATTTTGTTTATAAACAGACAACAAACATTGTTACGCACACTCTGTAGCTGAAAATTCAATTTTAGCAGTGTGTCGTTTCGATATCACCTATTTCCGGTATATATATATATATATATATATATATATATATATATATATATATATATATAATTGTTTTCTAAAAATAAATTATCATCGCAACACCGAAATTCCCATGTTTCAAAACTGAAACTTCAATTCAAATTCAATCAGAAAAATTAAACATAAAATACAAAGTTCCGTTTCATTATCAAGCAATGATAAGAATATTTTTTTTACAAATTGATTTATTTAATTTATGCGTCCAGACAAAATTGATATTTTGAGATATTGGGGTTAAGGAAAATTCAGTCTATTTTATTTTAGAGGTGTTAAGAATTAACTTATCTAGAACACTCTACTGTTGTATGGCGCACTGTTTTTAAAAATAAAAATAAATGCTAGGAAATCTGAATTACAAATATCATAGTTCTTTCCTGTTAATTTAATATATATATATATATATATATATATATATATATACAGTGTAACCCGGATATAAGAGAAACCCGGATATAAGAGAGATTTTCTGGTCCTAAATTAGAGCCTGTGTTAATGTATATAAAATAGACCAAACCCGGATATAAGAGAAACCCGGATATAAGAGAAACCCGGATGTAAGAGATTTCTCCGGTCCCGACAACTCTCTTATATCCGGGTTACACTGTATATATATATATATATATATATATATATATATATATATATATAAGTGCTCAATACACTAAGTGTAGCAAAATCTAAAGATCCTAGTGAGCCAGAAGCTACCTGCAAAGGTTTCAGTTAAAGGATCGTAAGGGTATTACTATTTAAAGAGGGTAGGTCCAAGCGACATTTTATTGGTAAAAAACAGCCGCCGTAAAATGATAAAATTAGCATAGAAAGAAAAACAAGAAAATGACAAGGAAAACAAAATGGCAGGTCAAAGATATTTAATTGAAAAGACGGACACCAAAAAAAAAAAAAAAAAAAAAAAAAAAAAACAACTCCCTATTATTTTATTCAGGTAACGAGGCCTTTTGTGTCTATATCCATTGAGAATTTCCGACCTCTAGTTAAGTAACATGCTATGGTTAATTTTTCCTCCATGCATGCGAGACAATACCTATCGCCTGCCTTATATTTGCAGCATTTTTTATTCTTCCATTAAGTATGGGGTCAACGCCTTCCTCCTTTTTGATTTTCCACACGTGATTAGATAAACTAGTTCTATGTCTATATCTCTCGTGTGTGAAGCAACTTTTATGACTATAATCTTTTTTTTAAATGTTCCCTGGGTCGAACTAACGTAAACTTTTTTTTTTATCATTACAACTATTGTTAGGTTTATTACTATATACCTCTATTTTATATACTACACATACATGTTGACATTTGACCTTAAGAGGACAAGTGGCTTTATTGATGCATGCAGTTAGATTTGGTGAAATTGATATATTGTTTATTTTTTAATCTTTTTAGTGTTGTAATTATTGATCGAATTAGCCAGATTGGGTATACAACTATAACTCAATAGGTAAGTCGTTTTACGGGGAAAGTTCTTTTTTAAACAATACTAAACAATACAGCGGTTTTTACCAATAACATATCACTTACACCTACCCTCTTTACCTAGTAATATCCTGAAGATTCGTTTGGTGAAACCTTGATAGGTTGTGGCTCACTAGTTTATATATATATATATATATATATATATATATATATATTAATCATATATATATATATATATATATATATATATATATATATATATATATATATATATATATATATATATTAATCCCATATATATATATATAATAGCAGGATGGCCCGGCGTTGCCCGTGCTTGATTCAAAAATCGTACGACTCATACAGCAATCGCTATCACTTGACTTAAAATATTTTTACCCTTCCTTGCCTTTAAAGGAGTGCACTTTGCCGTGCTGATGTTGCTACATGCCTTACATCTTGCCTATCTCACACTGCGAATTTTTTCTAAGCTCTATGCTAAACATTAAATCTGTTACTAAAAAAGAACTAAACAAAATGAACACAAAACGATCAGCTTTAAAAAAGAACTCGTAACTGGAAAAACCGAATGAAAAAAGAATGTTAACTATAAATACTTTTTCACACACAACCCAGTTCTGCGGAATCAGAATCAACGTTGAGTTTAAGCAAGCGAATGAGCCAATTGGAGTAAAGTGCCATGCAGATTTAAATTTTTCCCACATGTGACGAATGCAGCTATCGATTTGTTTTGCATGCTAGCATGCTCGTTAACATTCGTGTCAGTCAGCTGTTGGCTCTCACGCTGGCCAATAGAATCTTCCTGCCTATTCGTGGAAGCCAGCTATAGGCTCTGACTCTGGCCAGTAAAAATGGCCGCAAACTACATGAAAACTGCCGTCGAAGTATGAAAAAATCGATTATTTCCACTATCGATGGGAGTTGGGAAATGCAACGTCGGTCTTTGCCTTCCAGCTAACTTGGAGCATGTGCATGTAAATTTTGGTGCACATCCGTCGAAAAATTGTGGACGCATTCGTTACACACACACACACACACACGCATTCCTGCCTTTTATAGATAGAGATATATATTGATAATATTAATGGTCAATATATATATATATATATATATATATATATATATATATATATAAATTTCAAGAGGACAGAATCCAGGTAGAGCTCAATGTACAAGACAGAGCAAAATATAATATAAAAGGATACCTTTTTGAATTTGTAGGTCTGATGAATTGAATCGTGATTACGATTCCGATGTAATAAATTATAACCATGGAACATTATTAGTGTTTTAGCCTTTTATATCATATATATATATATATATATATATATATATATATATAATGTAACTTTGCTCATTGAGATGTTATATTCAGCACATCAACTAGAGTTTCGTGCACTCGTCATATATATACATTCACCAGAAATAGGTTATGACATCAATCAGTTAAGTCGCACATTGATATATATATATATATATATATAATACCCCCACTGCCGGCATGTGGACGAATAAATCATAACTTTTTGGCGTCTGTTTGCTATTCCCACATTCTAACCGAAAATATATTTTTTATTTATTTTTTAATTATGGTGGTAAATATCTTATCTTTTACCTTCAGCCATCGAACAAACTTCATGATTTTAAGCGGTACAATCGATTTGCTCACCTGTGAAAAAAAAACTTGTATTTTTTTAGGGCAGGAGTGGATTTTTTTTTTTGGACAACGTGGAATATTCTTTTTCGAAATTTAATATATTATTTCATTGCAATAAATAAATAAAGATAAGATTTTCTTTAAGCTTTAATTGAAAAAAAAAAACTTTTTACTCCATCAATTTTATTTTTAAACCAAGAAGTTTACATTGATTAAAGAAAGAGTTTCCACACAACTTTAAAAAAAACAAATACAAAACGCACCCAGACACTTCCCAATGATATATATATATATATATATATATATATATATATATATATATATATATATATAATATATATATATATTGAATTGAAGTCAACATTCAGAGGTGACGGACTGTTTCATATAAACGTAATCAATTGTTGCCTAACGATTGCGTCTAGCATGAAAGAGTCAATCTCCTCTGAGTGTTGACGCCAATATTCACTTTTATATTTGCATACGGTCTACCTCTTATATTGAGCACTTTATCCCCTAAATATAGCATTCCTTAAAACATTACATATATATATATATATATATATATATATATATGTAATGAATACAAAATCATAAAAATACATAATTGATAATTTATTTTGTGGACTCAGACGTTCGTCTCTTCAGACCAATTTTACAAAAATAAATTTCAATTTATTCAGACAAGAAAAGTGAAAAGGAGAAACGGGGAGAGAGAGAGAGAAAATAGAAAAAAGGAAAAGCTTTAATGTTAAAAGGAAAAGAAAGAAAGGGTAGAAAGAGAGATTTAAATATACGGTTTTTAGGGGAAGGAAAGAGAGATAGACATGAGGAGGGAAAGCAAAGAGAGAGAGAGAGAGAGAGAGAGAGAGAGAGAGAGAGAGGAAGAGTTAAGCCAATCGACAGGGTGACCGAGAAAATATTTTTCCGGGACTTCACAAGTTAAGAATTATGGTGCTGGGAGGGGAGTGATCGTATTCAAAATAAATTCATTGAAATTGCCTAGTCATTTTAAGCAGTGAAACCGTCATCATCGCATTATAAAAGTTACAATTACAAACTGATAATAATAATAATAACAAAAATATT